TCCACGAATGGTATGCTCTTGACTGGCAATGGTTTGTTCCCTTTGTAGGATTGCCTGTTGAGCCTCTTGAACAATGCGTTGAACCTCTTGCTGAGCGTCCTGTTGAGTGGCATTAACAACCTGTCGTGCGTTCTCGACATGGCCAAGGGCTTCCTGTCGTGTCTGCTCGATGAGTTGCCTAGCCTGAGCCTCACTTTGTTGCGCTGTTTGTACAGCCTGCTGTGCTTGCGAAGCTAGCTGAGCGGCCTGAACCCTAACGTCTGAAACTTCTCTTACAGCCCTTTCCCTGATCCATCCGGCCTCTTGTCTCGCCTGATCGGCGGCCTGCTGTTGGTGCAAGGCGTGATTGGCTGCCTGAGCAGCGAGGTCGGATGCTCGATGAGCTTGCTGCACCGCAGCTCCAGCTATAAATGCCGCAGCGGGTACGTTAGTCATCGGGTCAGGTAATTGCGATCCCTGTGAAGGAAACTGAATGGCTGGGGAAGCTTCGGATGATGTCGGTTCTGACACGATCGGACCACTCGGGGGTGATGATGGTCGTGTTTGGGCTGCTCGTTGAGGTGTGGATGTGCGAACTGTGGACATAACTGCAGGAACCATGGCTAGGTCAGGGTCATCCGGTTCAGAATCCCTATTTGGGGTTGACCTTGAACGGGGTTCTGATGGCGGTGATAAGCCCGTTGAAGCCATGACACAGCAATGCAACTTTTGCACTCACACGAAGCTAGCTCCACGCGCTTTGAGCAGCGTGTCAAAAGGTGCTACGAGGAGATATCCCTGGATTGGCAGCTGGTTGCGAAACGCTCAAGTGAGCCACTCAAGAAAATACGCCCTGCTGCTTTGCACCTGATGAATTCTGTATTTGTAATTGTACTTGTAGATTGATTGATCCGCACTGCCGCACTATGGTGCTTTATCGAGGGATGTTGCCAAGCTGTATTGAGAATTTGTCTGCAAATCGAATGCCTGTAACTGCAAAATGCTGTACCGCGCAAAGCGACGGTTTTAACGGCTTGCAACAAAGGCTATCGAAGTACCCGGCTGGCGGGCAACTGGGATGCAGATCGGTGGAGCTCCTCGAGGTACTGCGATGGATGCAGGCCCCTTGCCGCCGGAATGAATTGTCTGTTCCGGGACTCGATAAACTCACCGAGGTTCTCAAGTGCGTTGGCAAATCCGCCCGGCCCGAAATGCGGGAAGTTACGGAACGCCGCGACGCCTGTCTTTTGAGCTTCACGGACAATCGATGCTGTATCGTCAATAAGGGCGTGCACGCCCAGCCCTTGAAGGGCGTCTGCTTTGCCTCCCCTACCCAACCGTTCGTGTACGATTTTTATCGCAGAAAAAGTGAGTCCAGATGTCGCCCGCGCGTGCTCCAGGGCGACCTGGAACTCGCGGCGGCGATACTCGCTTGCAGCCCTGCCCACGAAGGATAGCACTATAAAATTTATAGGTGCGTAGTCCGCTGCAAACTGAACGAGATGTCGGATCACTTCCGGGTTGAGGTGGGGTCCCTGCTGCCCAACGTCAAGAACTCCGTGCCAGTCAAGAGCAACAACAAGCTCCTTGGGCGGCACAGGCCTTCCAGGCGGAGGTGGTGGCGGCGGTGGCGCAGGCGGTGCCCTTCTTGGTGGCGAGCGAAAGCGTGAGCCAGCCTCGGAAGTTGCAGCGCTAGCAGCAGCTGCTTGAACGACCTGCGGAGGTGGCGGCTTGACGATGTACCCGAATTGTGGCGGGTTTGAGCTCGATTTGCTTCTGGGTTCGGCCTTGTTCAAACCTCGCGGAGGCGCCTTGTACCCGAATGCACTCTGAGTCCGAATAGGAGATCTTGCCCGTGGCGGTGATTTCCTCGGAATATCTGCTTTTGCCGGTACCGAAGAAGCTGCCCTGGGGATGTCCTTGGGCAATGGAGGCTTGCTGCCAAAAATGACCTTTGGTGCGGCCTTTGGTGGCGGCGGTTGAACTGCTCCAATTCTCCGGCTGTGCAACGCGATGGGCTCAGTGTGAGTCGGCGCCTCGTACACGCGCCGAGGCACGTAGGCAGCCCTGCCCGTTCTGATGGATTCCGCGTCTTGCGGAGGTTCCTCTTCCGAGCTGTAGGCGTCGAGGCGGAAGTGCTCCGCCGGCGCCGGGCGTCGATCAGGAGATCGTGAACGCGAGCTCGTGGATGATCTTCTTGGGGGATCCCTCCACGTCTCGTCCGCGAGCAAATACGGATCGGCCTGACGGAGTTGCCCAGACGTCCGTTGTGCTCGCCGATGAGATGCCGCCTCACGTGGCTGTGAAGCCTCCCGAACAAGTACCCAGGTGCCGTGCTCGTCAAATCTAGTCACAGGGTATATGCTATTCTGTGGAGCCAAAACGATGGGCCGTGTGGCAAGGGAAGTCCTGGATGGCCTGCCCTCCCGCGCAAGCGCGGGTTCAACACTGTGAGCCCGTTGTTCCACAGGGGTAGCAGCAGTTGGTCCTCGTCTCGGAGTTGATGATGGAGACCTCGACCTTCGGGGCGATGGGGACCTCGATCTTTGTGTTGACCGTTCCCTGCTGCTCTCCCGCCGCGTTTCCGCAGCTTTAGCGTACACCCCGCGAAGTGTCGACTTGGCGGCTTGTCTTTCCTCTGCAGATGGCCGGATGCGAGGCAAAGGAGTGCGCGAATCTTGCAGCCAGGAGGAAGCCGAGGGAGGCGTCGGAGGTCGTAGCCAGTCCGCTGCACTGCTCGTTGCTTCCGCCGCGCCTGAGGCTGCGGCTTGATCCTGAGATGGCACACCTTGCGGCAAGACCACACCTGTGGTTTCAACCGATGCGAGACGCTGCTGATAAGCGTTGTCCGCGGCCTGGATCACGTCGAAGGCCTCTTGGTCAAAATTCCACAGGTGCCAACTATCCAATGACTCACGCCAGGAAAAGAGCGCCTCGACCTGTTGCTTCGAGGCGTCCGCAAACCTGATCCACCGGAATCGTCTGTTCTGCCGCTTGTACTCGTCGACGACGATCTGTTGCAGAGTGTTGTACAATCGGGCACGCGGCCCTTTCCCACCGCGTGTGCCGCGGTGAGGGCCGACTTCCATGTGCGACCAACAGGTCGCAGTCACGGAAGGGTTTGTTTACCCGAAAAGCGTTACGGCTGATAACCACTCAAAGGAGAGGGAAACACAGTTTTGTCAACAACGGGGGAACCCGGGACCTTAAAAGGAACGAACCCCTCCGTGACTGCGACCTCTCCCTTAACCTTGGGGTTAGCGCGGTGCAACGCGCTGCTTTCAGCACTTGAGCCAAAGCAGTGATTGGATCATGCTCTGGCAATGACTTGAATGTACAACATGCAACTGACTACATGAGAACCTACCTCATGTACCTCTGGGCCATAAATGTCATCGTGATAATTGACTTTATCAATCACAAAGGTCACGCAGCATTGCCGTTGCAGGAAGAGGAGGCCAACACATTACACATCCTTGCGTTTTGGCATGATTGTTTACAACTTCCAGCTGACATACAAACATTGTTACATGCTGAGCAAGCTCGTGCGCAAGTCACGTCCACCACAGCCCACTCCAACATTTGAGCAGAAACCTTGCAAAGCAGCGGGGTTTGAGAACTCATGGCATTCCAAAGCTTGCAGTTGAGCAACATTTCAAAAAGCATGCTCGAAGTAGCGCGCTTTCCTCCACACATCATCGAATTGTTTGGCATTTGCGCACTTCGGCACAAGGAGGGACGGGATGCCTCGGAGAAAGAAATGTTGACCAGCGCCGGTACTGTTGCTGGTCCTGTACCCGTCGCAAGCATTCAAAAGTGTGAGCATTGACCTCCCTAACTCTTTAAGTCAAGCAATGTCACACTGCAACGAAATAACTGTGCCGCAGCTGTACCTTTGTTTTCCGGTACGAGGTGACACGTTGTGCACCAGCATTGCCTCAGCCGAGAAGAGCAAGTGACAAAAGCCATCTTAGGACGCGCAATGGTGCAAGTTCAAAGTGTCAAACATGCTGTGCTAAGGAAGGCACCCAGTCTGATGCATCTCAAGCTGGTAGCACAAATCCGTAGCAATCTGCCCTGAGAGCTGCGCGACAGCAAAACCCAAAGTTGAAAGGCATCGGATCCGAGTGCTCGGCTTGGATTTGCCGCGGTTGACTGCTGCTTCTTCATCTCTCTGACCCAGCCCCCTTCCTGCAGAGTCAAGCTGAGACACGGTAAGGGGAGGTGAGAGTGAGATGGACACGCAAAGCTCTCCTTCTGGCTGTAAATGTCGATTTCATCTGCGTCGCAGGACACAGTATTCGGCTTCTTTTGCGTAATTGCCTCAAGTAATCGGAGTATGACAACAGTCTCAAACCAAAACAAACAAAGAACTGCTGCGACCCGCTTAGACACCTTTGACCTGAAACGGATTGCCTATGATCTCAAGCTCCTCGCCGTCCTTGCAACTCCACAAGTACATGTCTGGCGGTGGGTACCAAGAGCATAGAAGGCACTGTTTTGAGCAAGCACCGGAACTGTCCATGAACACTGCCAGCGGTCCACTCTGGCTGCAAACGAACTGCAAACTAACATGAGAGCATTGCAATAAAACAACTACCTAGAAACAGCAAGTAGCGAACACTGCTTTTTGGCTTGAGCCACGGCGACACGTATCATGAACAGTTACCACTAGGGTCAAACAGTTTACACATGCTGAAGATGTTATTTTTGGCATGCCCCGCCCCCCGCCCCATAACACAAAATAGATGCCACAAAACTGGTTCTTGTCAGCAGATTCTGGATATGCCATGTTTTGCCCGCCCTGCCCCACAATATGCAATCAAAAGGCACGTTTTGTCAACCCACATTGACACCTGTGTGACCTGCACCCCCGCAAATCCACAGAATGTCACACAGCAACTTCGTGTCAGTACCCGGTCAACACAACATCAACAACGGAATGCGTCAGATTTTACTTTCATTCAAGACTTGCGTTCATGTGAACGCGACCTGATCTCGGCGCCCTATACCCCGCAGTCTCAACACATTCCACCCTTTTTTCAGGATGTCAGGCGTCTGGCACTTTGTCCAGCGTTTTTGGAATCTGCACGACCTGTACATACACATTCCGGAACACTCTGCCTCTCCCTTGCGCCAATGCCATCAAATTGTTGAACTCTGCACCTGACTTCGGTTTGAATTGCTGCGGGTCTCCTGTCACCCAAAAAGAGAGGGTGAAATTGTGTTGTCCCTTGCAGCCATCAAAAATGTCACGCAACCTCTGTAAAAATGTCGGTTTGATGCTGTGGTGCGGGGAATTTGTCACAGAGATGCCATGGTTGAAGTCAAGCAGGTAGTCGAGGCCTGGATAGAGCTCTGGGCTGCGCAGAAGACGTTTTGCCAGGTCGCCTTTCATGACTTGAAGCCATCTGCGCTCGAAAGTGTCATCGGAATCGCTCTGCAGCAATTCCAAACCGCCAGGAACTACGAAATCTTTGCCCTTCTTGTGCGTCCAGGAGGCATTTGCTTTTCCTGTATTCGTTATTTCCCAGGTCTCCAGCCGCTTGCGACACCAAGATGTGGTTAGCCAAACCCCGACAAAATTTTGCAGCCAACATCGTGATTTTGGGTTGTTTCCATCCTTCCACAAATTCACAAGCTCGGCATAGTGCTTGCGTGCTAGAAGCCTTCTCACCCCGGCGGAGCACACAGCGACTTCGCAAGAAGTCCCGTCCACAGAAAGGTATGTGAAAAGTCTGCTCGGAAGCTTCGTCCCCATGGTGTCCAGATCTCCATGTAAAGCACGTTGCACAGTGGCAAAGTCATTCGCCTCGGAATCCTGCTGAGCGATGGCTTTTGCATAGGCATTTTCTGAAGCCAAAAGGATGCGTAGTATGCCCCCAACCAGGCGAAACCTCTCAAGCACTGTGCTCATGGTGACTGCCGTCGCCAAATTGCCATGGGCCACCTGCAGCTCCTGCTCTCTCCACGCCTCCATGTAGACACACTCTCCACCATCTTTGATGAAGTTGGAGTAGTGTTCCCTGTCGGGGCTGCAGGCCTTCACCGTCTTGGCACGCAGCTTATATGTGGGGCGCTTCTCCGAGGCGTCCACGAGGTACCAGTTGTTGCTGTTCTGCAGGTGCTCGCAGTCGCTTGCATCCCACTTGCCAATCGGCAGGCTCTGCGCTTTCCAACGGCGGTCCTTGTTGATGAAGATGAAAACGAAGCCGCCCTCCCACGCCTCGAAGACGACGGCCTGGGGCTCCTTGATCCAGTCTGGGCGTTCACCCGACACGAGGTGCCACAGGCCCAGCGCCAGGGACCGGCTCTTGCCGATGCCGGGGATCCCCAGCATGGCCACGCGCTCCGTGCCGTTCTTCATCAGCTCAAAGGTGGCCTTCCAGGCCTGGCGCGTCGTGTTCCGCGTCAGCAGCTTCCTCCCGCTCAGGTCGTAGGGCCTTGCGGGCAGGCACTCCTTGAGGTCGAAGACCTCCACGCCTCAGTATGGCTTCAGAAAGAAAAGCAAAACTGATCCGCCGTCCCCGCGGCCTTCGCCGAGGTCCTTGGGCTCGGCATAGACCAGCTCCTGGATGAACGCCGTGGCATCTGGGTCCTCCTGCCGCGATCACACACGAGACGCGAGCCATGACACAACTCAGATTCCAACCGTCCTTGATCCCGCTTGCCTGCACAGCATACGACGGACAAGACCAGAAAAGATGACGCGTGAGCTGTTCGAGAATCGAGCACTGAAGGGCCATCAACGATAGGAAACAAAAACTAAAACAGCACAATCCAGCATGGACACAAAGCTGGGGATGCGTGTTTGAGCTCAACCATCCGTTCGTGGGGCTCCACACTGAGCCACGTGCGCCAACAATGCAGCCAGCTGAAGTCCAAAAAAATGCGCTGTGCTCTGCAACGCAATCTGGGGATTTGCTGGTTCAATCCCACCAAAAGCATTTTCAGGCTGCGGGTGGAAATCAAAACCGCGCGCAAGGACCAACCTCTCAGCCGGCCGCGCCTCGGTCTTGCTTGCCTTTGCCTCCTGCACCTCCTTCTTCGCCTCCTGCCCCTCCTTCTTCGCCTCCTGCACCTCCTTCTTCGCCTCCTGCACCTCCTTCCTCGCCTCCTGCACCTCCTTCTTTGCCTCCTGCACCTCCTTCTTCGCCTCCTGCACCTCCTCAGCGTTGCCAGTTTGCAGGGCCATTGCCACCTGCTGCTGGGCTGTCGCCACCTGCTCCTGGGCGCTCTCAACCTGCCGCTGGGCCGTCTCTTGCTGCGCCAGCGCAAGTCCCAGCCGCTGCCGCGCCAGGACAAGGTCCTGCCCGGCCTGCGCCAGGACAAGGTCCTGCCCAGCCCGACTCACACGCCGTGCAGTGCGCACAAACCGACGGCCTCTTCCAAGCCCTTCAGAACTGGTTTGGCCTGGACGGCTACCACGACGTGCGTCACAAAAAATGCCACAACATGTGAATCTCACCCTTTGGCAAAGGAAGCAAACAGCCTTGCCTCTTCCACAAACTCGCGCAGTTTTTGTTGCAACTCGTCCTTCTTCCCTGAAAGGGTCCACTTCCCTGGATATATATTCTGCGCTTCTCCTGAGCTCAAACCTCTCACCGCTCTTCAAACCCCGACCCACGTGCTGCTCCAGCGGCGCAAGGCAGCTTTTATCTGGCCCGCCGCGCCGTTGTCCTCCAGCACCCGTTCGGCTTTTGCAATCACCTGAGCGAGGCCAAGCTGGGACGTCGCTTTCTCTGAAGGCTCGCCGCCTCCTCAAGATCGAGGAAGTCCTGGCAGCCAAAGAGCCCAGCGTTGAAGCCTCCTCATTCACATGTTCCCCAGGCCTGGGCACTCTTGTCCTGGCAACGGCAACTGTCCAAACTTGCAAGCTTTGGATTGGAAGGTCCTTTTGCGCAGCTAGGGCACGCAAGGCGACTCCAGCATGCGAAGGGCGTGGTCTCACCTGAACAAGCGAAAATGCGATCTGTTTGGGGCTGTGGGCAATTGTCAGGAAGCGGTTCTAGCACGGCGGCACAAACAGGAACATCCAAAGTGGGGGGTTTTACGGTCCTTCAGCTGAGCTCCTCCGGCAAAGTCGTGGGCGGCAAATGGGGACTCCTGAAAACCGAAAATCCATTCGTTTGCAAACGCTGCTCCGGACTTGCCCAAGACCCAGGCCGTGCTCGGCCACCGTAACAAGAGCGCCAGCAGCGCAATCCCGAAGCTGAGGCATGCGCCTGCCACGGCATACGGCAGACACCGCAATGTCCACAAACCAGCTGGCCTCGGCCTCTCCTCCTGGAACTCGTCGCTGCCATGCCCGTTGCAAGACTTAATGGTTCCTCACATCAACTCGATGCGTTCGTAATCATGCCTGAGCACTCGCGGGCAACGGATGAATGTGTCGCTGCTCAGTGTAGGCCTGTTGCACTGCTCCTAGCTTGGACCCAAACAACCCTCCAAATCAAAGAGCCCCGCAAATCCCAAAGGCGCGCACTTCTTTTTCACGGGTTGCTTGAAAGCGGCACTGCCTCCAGGGCACGCGGCGCACCTGCCTCCAGGGCACGCGGTGCACCTGGAGCAGGAGGCAGCATTGTCCCCCCCGTCAGTGCTTCCAAGCAACCCCGGAAAAAGCAGGGCCAGCTAAGCAGCCGGCCATACCCCCCCTTCAGAGCGGGGTTGTGCCTGCCAGGGTGAATTTGCACGTTTCACTGGAAACTGTTTTGAGACGCATGGTATGCATTCTCGAAACCGATTTGGCATCATCATTGCAGACTCCGGGGATGTGAGAGACATCCAAAAGGATCCCCGTACGTCCTGATAGAAAAGCTAGGCGCTGGATCACAAAGCAAAGTGGGGCCCGAGAGCAGTAAAGCTTGTTGCTAGCAGACTCAGCGCCTGTATTGTCGCACCAAGCACTCATGCGCACAGCGAGGCGCGCGCCAGGACAGCCCCTGGCGAGACAAAGTAGCAGGGCCATCTGCCCCAATGCCTCGTAGTATGTGATATCCCGCTGAGCCAACGGCGAAAAGGCGACCTTGGCAAAAGCGAGGTCAGCGACGTTGAAAATTTCCCTGAACCAGACTTCCTCACCATTGGGCAGGCGCGCAAATCCGCCCATTTTAAAGGAGTCACCGGCAGCCATGGCATCAGCCGCCGCATTGATGGTAAAGCAAACCGGCTGCTGAAGCGGGTACATCTGAGGCGGGAGAGCTGCCCAAGCGTGCCAAAACTGCAGGAAAGAACGGCTAGTTGGCAAGAGCCGTCTTTTTGCAGTGGCAGGGTCAGCAACTCGTACCCGGACCGCTTTCACGGTGACAGGGACCTGCTTCAACGGCCCCAACCGAAATGGTCATACCAGGTGGGGTGCGTGCAAAGCGCAAGTCATCATCTAGGCAGTCGCAAAAAGCAACCCAACAGCCAGGACGCTGAACGCTTCCGGCAGTGAAAGATCTTCATGCAGAGCAAGCTTTTGGCGTGCAAAACCAGATCTTGGAAATTGGATAGTATGGCAAAACAGGGACACATGCCACGAACTGCAGATAACCAGTACCGCGTGGTGCTGCGGCTACACCCCGAGCCCCAAGAAGCAGTTGCAGGACATGGGTAAAAAGCCGCTGCTTTATGCATGGAAGGGCGAACGCTCATCCACGCTGGATGAGCTCACTTCTGCAGAATTGTGCGTGGAGACCCAACACGCCCTCCGGCTGCAACGACTGCGCAAAAATGCCGAGGAAGGTAAACGCAGCAAGGACCTCTGATGTTGGATTGCCTGTTGAAGAAAAAGCGGAAATGGAAGGTCCAGCCTATCCAAAGAATCGAAGGGCCCAACTGCAGCTTCTTCCAGGAGATAGGAATGCAAAAAATGGCGCAAATAGCCAGTACTATGAATGAACACGCCAGAGACGTGTCCGCGAATTTCGAAATCAGGCCGACAGTCCGGCAAAGGCTCTCACTGGCTTCGGCGAAGCGCGTGCAGCGTGCCCAAGGCAGGACGTGGCAAAGCAGGCAATGGCGTGGAAAGGATTTTGTGCGGAGTGACTGTTCAGCCAAGGCGTTGTTTAGCGTTGACCAGGCGCAAGAGCGGTTAGCAACAGCAAGCGCTCGGACAGCCGTTTCAGTCGCACCTCAGCTTCAGGCTTGCCCACTGCAATGACTAGGAGATGAAGTTCGTCGCACGGATCTCAAGGCTTTGCGAGCAGTCCAAGTTGCGCCAGTTGCACCCTGCAACACCGCAGCAACATCACGCGAGCTGAAGCTGTACAAGGTGGCAGCTCGCACTTTCGCAGCTTAGCTTGGCTTGGCTGGGCTTTGCGCAAGGATAGGCAGTTTGCTTGGCACACCGCCTCATTTGTTCGTCGTGTCGTCTGCTTCCTCGGCGCGTTCTGCTGACAATCTTCGGCATCAGAGGCAATATAGCAGCTGGCTGCTCCTCGCTTCCATCAGCCACTCGAGACCGGAGGCACTCAGCGCCCGATGAGAACGCCTCTTCTTTGGTTGACAGGCTTTTTGCAAACTACTAACAATCAATGCTGAACAAAGCAATCAGACAAGACACCGCGCTTCCAACTTCACAGGTGTAACGCTACAGAACGCTATAAATAGAAGAGGGGGGTAGTGTTTTCTTTCTATAGTTGCGTAGGGTCACAGTTGGGTTTGCACTCACTGACAGGAACAGCATTTTTTGCCAAAGCTGGAGCAAGCTACATTTACCTGCTCCAAGCAATGGCGCCCTCTCTCTTTAGAGGGGGTTTCCCAAACGGATTCTATTGCACCTGGGAGGGTTCTGACACTCGTCCGTCCAGGAAACGACCTCGTCCTGCGAAGGGTTCGAAATCTAAAATGCTGCGCGCAGGCGTGCGGCTGCAACAAAACGACCCCTAGATATGCTTGCAAAATGCCTTGCAGCTGCGCTTCTGCAAGGCAAGCTAAAAGACCAGGGAAAAAAAGGGGTCCAAGCCAGCCAAACCCAGGCCGGACCCGGCTAGAAGCCAGCCGAGCCAGCCAAGCAGCTGCGTGGCATTTTGCCAAACCGCATATCTAGGGTCGTTTTGTTGCAGCCACACGCCTGCGCGCAGCATTCTAGATTTCATATCCTTCGCAGGACAAGGTCGTTTTTTGGACGGACGAGTGTCAGAACCCAATAGAATCCGTTTGGGAAAGGTGCGATGTTCTACGTGCGCGCTTTCGCGCGGCGCAGTCTGCAGCTGTCGCTGCAGCTCGCTGCGCTGCAGCTCGCTGCGCTGCAGTTCGCTGCGCTGCAGTTCGCTGCGCTGTTCGCTGTCTGGGCTGTGTCAATATTGATCCAATGTTGTGCTTTCGTTGCTGCGAGACACTTCAATATTGCCTCAACAATGGCCTGGCATCGAAGCCTCCAGCCTGCCGAGCCGCGCCAACTGTCAAGAGCGCAAGATGACGTCCCGTGGGACGCTGTTCACCAAGCTTCCAGCTGAATGTACTCAACCACGTGGAAAGGATATACGGCCAAACCGATACAGACTGTTGTAAGGCACTCTAGCCGCCGAGCTCGCCTCCAGGGGCGCCGTCATTGCCGCCAAGGCGGACGCTAGCGCTCTGGCAGCGTCACCGCCCTTGCAGTAGACGGAAAGATCACCAATGCCCTGCTGCCCTACGCCACGCTGGCCCAGCTGGCCTAGAGCTGGCCGTGCGGGACGCAACCCTCGCAAGCCTGCAAGCCTCCAAGACCGACGCGAGCCTCCTCGCAACGCAGCCTTGTCAGCCAGCGAGACGGCTCTCCAGGCAAGCCTCGACGCAATATTGGCAGACCTTGCCGCCCTTCAGTCCGCTGGAGGCGGAGTCAGTAATGCGCCGCCCTGGACGGGACAAACTACCTGGGAACTTTTACAAGGCAGCAACATCGTCAGAAACCTCCATCTTACCCCGCCTCTTTCGGCAAGCCTGGTGAACACCGACAACACCCTGAGCATCGCAGCCGACTGCTATTCCACTGCAGGCACTGACGTGGCCATAACAGCAGCTTTGGCGGCCTACTACAGCTCGACCCAAGTCGACACCCTGCTCGCCAGCTACCGAACGGCGGCGCTGCAGGACACCGAGACAGCCAGCGCAATCGCCGCGGCGCTGACTGCGTACTACACTTCATCGCAAGTAGACGCGCTGTTGGTCGACTACCGAACAGGAACGGCGCAGGACACCGAGACGGCAAGCGCCATCGCGGCGGCGCTGACTGCGCACTACACAGCGACCCAAGTGGACGTGCTGCTCGCAAACTACAGAACGGCGAGCGCACAAGATACCCAAACGCAGGCGGCCATCGCGGGCGCGCTGCTGGCCTACCGGACGGGCCCGGACCAGGACGTTTTCACGACCAACCAAATCACCTCGGCGCTGGTGGCGTACCGCTCGGCCGCCGACCAGGACACGGAGACCGCCAGCTCAATCGCTGCGGCCCTGGTACTTCGATGCAGGTTGACTCCCTGCTGGCCGGCAAGCTCGGCCTCGCCGACTCCGCCTCGGCAGCGCCGACGAGATCGTGGCGGCCATCGGGGGGCAGATCCTCAGCCCCACGGACGTCACCTTGAGCAACTGGGCGATTCGTCCCAGCAGCGGCAGCAACGTGTCCTGGCTACTGACACGGCGGCCCAACCAGTCAGCCGGCACCGTCGATGTTTACGGCCTCCAGATCCTGGACGCCACCCTTGAGAGCGGCAAGGCCGAGGCCCAGCCGACCGCCTCAGAGGTGCTGCTGGCGCATAACTTTCTCGACGGAGGGCCTGGGCGAGGTGATTCAGGACTCGGCTATCGCCTTGACACCGGCCAATCTGGTGATGTACGTATCAGCAGCCGATGATTACGTAGGCGTCACCGGGAGTTTCCTGGGCACGCCCGCCGCAGGGGTCTGGAGCACGGCTCGCGTCGACTTCGCAGTGCCCCCCAGCAACATCGCCAAGGTCCACTTTGGCGCCTTCGGCGGGACCATCCCAGGGTTGGTGCAGCAGAACCCCGGCTTCCTGGATCTGTATAGGCTCCAGATCAAGGCCATTGCCTTCGAGGGCGAAGCCGTCTTGGTAACGGACCTGCTTGGCGACACGCTGGCATTGACCGGCTCGGCCACTCTGGACGGGCACGGCGCAAGGCGACGTGGGCTGCGACCAGCTGCTCTGCAACGACGTGAACTGCACGGACGTCTTCACGACGGGCGTGGACGCCTCGGGAGCGATCTCGTGCGCAGCGCTCACGGCCAGCGGCGCCGTGTCCGGAGCCACGCTGACGTCCGCCGGCGCCGTCTCGGGCAGCTCACTGAGTGTCAAGAGACGGCAAGGTGACGTCCCGTGGGACGCTGCGCACCGAACCCTCCAGCTGTAATACCAACCACGTAGAAAGGTGTATACAGTCAAAGCC